GAGATTTAAATGGACATGTAGGTAGAGTGGTAGAAGACTTCATAAATACTCATGATGACTACGGTTTTGGAGTAACTAATGAAGAATGTAGAGCCATTTTAGATTTTGCTTTAGCTTATAATTTTGTTATTACTAATACTTTATGCAAGAAAAGAGATGAACATCTTATTACTTATAAGAGCAGATCTAATAAAAGATAAATTGATTATTTTCTTATGAGAAGAAGAGATCGTCGAAATTATAAAGATTGTAATGTCATTCCAAGTGAGAATTTAAGTACCAACACCGTTTTATTAGTTCTAGATTTTAAGATTAAGACTTGCAAAATAAAGAATAGAGTTGTAAAACTAAGGTGAAGAGTTGTAAAACAAAGAATACTAGGACTCATCATCGTAGAATTAGATGGAGGAACCTAAAAGACACAAATAAAATTATTTTTATGAGTAAAATTCAAGAAACAATAAAATATTTGTGGAATAATAATGTGCAAGAAACAATAAAATATTAGAATTTATGTTATAAAAATTGGTTTAAATATAAAAGCTTAGAGAACTGAGAAAAATATCATACGACCCGCAGAGAGTTTAAAAGAACAATCGGACGCTAAAAATTCTATTTTTAATGATCTTTGTAATAGATTAGATATTAAGGAGGGTGAAAAATATATGTATAAACTAGCCAAACAAAGAGAAAAGAAAAGTAAAGATTTAACTCATGTAAAGTGTATTAAAGATGAAAATAAAAAAATACTTTTCTTAGATAAAGATATTCAACATAGGTGGGTGAGTTATTTTGATAAAAATTTTTTTATGAAGTTTTTGAAAATACGATCGACTTTATGAAATATTTAGGAGATTTGGGAGTTTCTTGGCTTACTAAACTCTTTAATATTATTTTAAAAACTAAAAAGATGCCTGAGGAGTGGAGGAACAGTATTTTGGTCCCCATTTTTAAGAATGAAGGGGATACACAAGAGTGTGCAAATTAGAGAGGAATTAAGTTGACGTGTCATACTTTAAAGTTATGGGAGAGGGTAATTGAACATAGGTTAAGATGCATTACAAAGATTTCTCATAATCAATTTGGATTTCTGCCGGACATGTCTATTATGGAAGCTATACATTTATTGAGAGGGTTGATGGAGAAGTTCATAGATAATAAGGAAAATCTACATTTGATTTTTATTGATTCGGAAAAAGCTTACAATAAGGTTCCAAGAGATATCCTTTGGAGAGTTCTTGATAAGAAATGTGTTGATATGATTTATATTCAAGTCATTAAAGATATGTATACTTGAGCTGTTACTTGTGTACAAACTCAAGGAGGATTGACCAAATATTTTCCTATTTCTGTTAGATTACATCAGGGATCGTCTTTAAGCCCTTATCTTTTTGCTTTTGTTATGGATGGTCTTACTAGACATCTACAGGAGGATGTACCTTGGTGTATGCTTTTTGCTGATGATATCCTTCTCGTGGATAAAATGAGAGAAACAATCCAGAGAAAACTTGAATTATGGAGGTCGTCTACATTGGAGTCTAAAGGCCTTCATTTAAGTAGAACTAAAACTGAATACATGAAATGAAATTTTAGTAGTAGTTGTGTTAGTGACAAAAGTGTGACTTTGAGTGATCAAATTATTAAAAGGTGTGAACAATTTAGATATATTGGGTCCGTTGTTCAAAGCGATGATGGTATAGATGGGGATGTTAATAGTAGAATTCAAGTTGGTTGGTTGAAGTGGAGGAATGCTTCGGGCCTTTTGTGTGATAGAAAAGTACCTCTTAGATTGAAAGGAAACAATGGTGAGACCTGCAATGCTCTATGGCGCTGATTGTTAGCCTTTAAAAGAGAAGCATAATAATAAGATAAGTATTGCCGAAATGAGAATGATTAGGTGGATGAGTGGCTTTGCACTTAAAGACAAAATGCAAAATGAATATATCCGTGATAGGGTTGCTGTAGCTCCTATGAAAGACAAAATTAGAGAAAGTCGTCTTAGATGGTTTGGTCATATTAAACGTCAACCATCTGATGATCCGATTAGGAGAGTAGATGTTTTAGATTCGACTTGTGTTCAGAAAGGTAGAGGTAGACCTAGGAAGACTTGGGCTTATTGTATAAAAAATGATCTTAATTTACTAGAACTAAATGAAAATATAACACTAAATAGGACGCAATGGAGAAAAAAGGATTCATGTAGCCGACCCCACGTAGTGGGATTAAGGCTTTGTTGTTGTTGTTGTTGTATGATAGTGATTTAAAGGATATTGAGAATTAAATGTTTTAATGTACTTTTTTAGATGACATATCCCATAAGAACGTAGTTAACAAAGAGGGTATTTTGAAGAAAAAAGACCTAAGGTTTGTAGAACGAAGTTTAAATATACTATACCCAATTTAGTGGTTGTAATATTAATAATTATTGACCGATAGAGCTAGAAGATGAATTGAACATAGGTATGATAGGTTGAAGTATCATGGAACTATTATATAAAATAATGGGATCAATATTTTAGAGTTAAGTTTGAATGATTGAAACTACTAAGTGCCTTAGGAGTGCTATCTACTATGAGTATATAGGATATTTAAAAATATATTTTATAAAAATTGCAGTTAATTTGGTTATGTTGTAGGGATTTTGTGTTGATGATAATGAAATCATTGGTAGCAAAATTGAGCACGACACAAATGAAAATGCTAACATGGATGTGTGCGAAATCTGAGGAGAATAAATTGATAAAATAAATATTACATAGTTAAGAAGAAAATAGGTGGATTGAAAAGTGAATTGGTAGGCAGAAATAAGTTGTGTAAAATAAGTTTAACACCTCAATTAGTGCACTTACAGCTTTCTTCATCCCGAAAGCGTCCCCACTTCTCATATACATAGAAACACTATCTTATTTGGAAGCTCTTGGTTAAGAGCACTTCGCGACCTTAGAATTTCCAAATCATAACCTTTTTACTCCAAAGAAACTTGCAAAATAATCTTTCACATAGTAACTGTTTGCCATCATTAAAAACCTAACTTCCATTGGCTTATAAAGCATGCCAAATTACATTAGTTTAAATGTTGATGAGTGTTAAATCTTTTGTTTCATTGATTGGGAAACATGAAATAATTTCATTCTTTCGTTTTATTAATAATCTATATTTTATTTGGCTGACATTACAAGGCCAAAAAAATTACACCATGCTTAACTCACGGCGAAGAAAAGAATGAACTACTACTTAATCCATTCTTGTTAAATCAAAAAACAAAAAATACAAATATAATACACACAAACAACAGATTAAACGCATGCAGGGGCAGAAGGCATCAATTTTGACAGATTCTAACACAGGAATTTCTCGAGCATCCAGGTCCAGTATCTTTCCATTAAGCAGCACAGTTTGGCTGTGCAAGTTCCCATTCATGTTGGTCAAATGGTACTCTTCCAGGATGAAAAATCCGAATATTGAGTGCTAAAGTAAATGCTATATAATATATATTTTGAAGAAAAGTCACTCTTTTGAAGACTTATTGTACATTTAGATGTTGAAAATGATTTGTTGTTATAATATGAATTTATATCTGATATTGTTGAATTTGAATGTAGCCATTAGAATATGTTCATAACTAGAACATGATTTAAAATCTGAATCTAAAGCATAATTGAGCTACATCATATGCGAATATGAATTTCTAAATGAAATGGAATCTTTTCCTAAATGTAAAATTGAACAAATTATGCTTGATGTAATTGATGAATTTATATAGCAAATTTATTAAAACATTCTTGTAACACTGACTGTTGATAGTATCTATGATGAATTAATTTTAAATTTTTAGTTTCTTAATTTACATGTTTATGAAAGGGGAAAAAAAAAACCAGCAGGAGCTAGTGAAATTGCATTAATATTCCAAAGAATCTATTACTTAAAATTGCTTTAATGAAAACTTAAAAGTTTAAAAGTCTATCCATCCATCTAAAAATATTGAAAATATGTAATTTTTTACAAATAATTAATTCTCAAAACCTTACCTTGCATTTTACCTAGTTCTTTCTTTTATATTTTCTTTAGTTATTTCTGTATTCCTTCCATTTTCCTGTCTGGCTCTCAAGGTTCCTTGTGTATTCGAATGAATTATGAAATCGATTAGTTGAAATATGGAAAATCAATTAGAGCAATGCACAGACGTTTGTCCCAACGGGGTTATCTTTCTGACACTTATGATTAAATCTTAGGAGCATAATGGTTAACTGAGTATCTAAATGTAATTTTATGTTGATGTTTAAATTCATGAAATGGTGCATTGCACTCAAAGTTCATCATAATTATTTGGGGCATTTACATACATACCGCAAATAACACCATCATTTTGTTGTTTCACGATTTGATATTTGCAATATTAATCTTGTTTTAAAGGTATCAAAAAGTTCATAAATTGTTTTGTTAAAAAAACCTTTTCATTTGTTTTGATGAGACGGTTGACACAAATGAAAGATGATGTAAATTAAGGGCATTTACATACACCACCCAATTCCTATCTATTTACATTCCACATAAAAGATACCACCATCTTAACTTCTTAAAATTGACATACACTTTTTTCATGCATAGATAAGGTTGTAATTGAACTTTAGGTTTTAGATGTATCAATACATAGGAATTGAGCAGTATGTATGTAAATCTTCCTATAAATTATACTGTTTTTAGTTTAGCTACTTGGTAATTCTATGAATTAACAACTCTCTTTCTAAAAAAACTTTCTTCGATACTGAAAATGTAACATTAAAAAAAAAAAAAAAGTTAAAAATGAATGGTCAAATTCTTTGAATTATATAACTATTTAATTTCACAAACATGGAATTAAGCTTTTGAGAACCTACTTAGCAGCAGATTACTTTATGCCATTATGGAACTTGTATGCACATTTCATTTTAATTTAATAATTTTAAAATGGTTTACTCCACCTAAGCTAACTTCATTTCCATTCTGAACTTGTTCTGCAGGTTAGAGCCCCACATGCAAGCTGCAATCTTCTCTTGCTGCTTGTTAGAGTGAGTCATCATGCTCTTGTTTACTTCTCTGATGCATACCAGTTCTAGGTTTTCAAAAGCTGTTGTAATGTTATTTGTCCTGCACTTCTTTGCTAATACATCGTTGTTTGAGATTTTGTTATGGACTAACCTGTGCTCTGATGGCAATTTGTTTTTGGGAAATTTATATGCACACCCCACAATTCATGTCTGATACCTATAGTTTGAAATTTAGATTTATAATAGTGTGGTGTCATAAACTAGTGCATGAAAAGTTATATTTCACTTTTATAAAGTTAATAATTGTGATATTTTGATATGATTTTATAATTTTAAGTGTTATAATGTAAGTATTAAAGTTTTGGTGTTAGATATATAAATAGTTAAAAATTGTGTGCTTTATCTGTAAATGCTCCTTCTATTTTGCTTTTATATTTGTAGCATCCAAAATTTTAATATCAAATAAAAAAATATCACTATTTTAGTTTATATATATATATATATATATTGTGATTAAGATTATAGATATAAAAAAAAAATATTTTAAACAATATATATGTATATATATGTATATATATGTGATTAAGATTATAGATATCAAAAAAATATATATTTTAAACCATAAAATATTTCATACAATGTTGGCCATAAATCATTTGAAGCCTTCCATAACATGTTGCAAATTTTAATATTTACATATTTTAGAGCATTTATGATTTGAATTAAATAAAGAGATAAATAAGCAGATTATAGGAAATCCAGAGTTAATCATAGTGATCAGAGTTTAATAATTAAAAAAGATAGAGAGAATCTGCTTAATAAGTTAAGAGGTGATCAATTACTTAAATTTAAAGGCTTAAATATTTTGTTAATTATGATTATATAAATTTAACTATCATTAAGATATTAGTTCTTTGCAATATGAAACCAACATATTAATATAATTAGTAGTTAATTATTTAAACTCCTCAAGAAAGGAAAGAATACAGTAAATCAACAAACAAACCACCCGGAACCAAACTACAAAGTAGAGCGGCCACCTAAAGCAGAAAAGACACGAAGCAAACCCCCTGTAAATGAACTAATGCATTCGATAGATAACACGAACT